GTACTCATTTCTCACCTCATCTGTCAGATGTTCCATTTGAATAAAGCACATTTCTCCAACACCCTGTTTAGTTCCGAAGTCCACTGAAGCCCATCTCTTAAATGTTATTTACTTTGTTGGGAGCATGACAGACACTCACATAGTACTGTTTTAATAGCTGTTTTCTTTGCATTTATATATCTGAAGCTGAATATAGAACATCATAACATTCTGCTTTTTTTCACAGAAATTACTGGACACCTTTCCACACTTGCCCTACTTTTTTTTTTTTTTTAAGCATGCTAAATTTTCTCTGTGATACCTAGTTTTCCAACATTAGATAAGAATTCTCTTCATTTAAATTGAAAACTTGCTTCATCTGGCTATTGAATTATCTGCTGATTTATTTTAATTTTTGCAAAGTATATTTTATCCCATGCTTGGAGCTCATTGCTCATTGCTTTATTATTTTTTATAACAATAACAATATTGATTAATGTTGATTTTTAAAATAATTTTTTTATTTCAGTGCTTTTGTAGCCACACATTGATTTTATTTCCTTCCTTTTCCAAAGGCTTTACCTTTATTAGAAAGAAGTGAAAGATGTCTCTAATTACCCCTAAATTCTTGTTTTCTGTTCAGAATTTCAGACTCACAGAGGTTTTGTGTCTGTATGTCTTTGAGTGTCTTAGATCTTAACAATTTCATTTATTCCTAAGCAAATTATCAGAACTGAGAAATAATTCACTGATAACTCAGTCATAAATGAATTACATTTATAGTTTGAGCACTAGCTTTCTCATATTCTAGGAGAGCAGTCTTTTTTATTTTGATTTGCTATAAGTATATATATAACTGAATATAACTCTCCATGAAAAGTAAGGGATCCTTGGGAACTGATAGAATACTCAGAAAAGGCCACTGTAGACTGGTTTAAATCCCATCTGTTGCTGAGCACATAATAGCATTTGCTGTACCCATTCATTAGTGTGCTCCTCTTTGGCACTAGGAAGCATCACAGTTTTCTGTTGTTTTTTTTTTTTTTAACTCTGTGTACTAGTTTGCAAATTTTTTTAACTTTTCATTATGAAAAATTCCTTTATAAAAGTAGACAATATAAAACACTAAATGTGCCATTACTCTGCTTCAGTGTCATTAAATCATTTCAATGTTTTTGGGATCTGTTCCCCACTTGCTTCCCTGGTTTCTTTCCCCCAATTTTTTGAAGCAAGTCTCAAGCATTATTTCATTAAGTCTAAATTATTTTAATATTAAATGTTAACATCTAATATTAACACTACATTTTCCAAACTGATTGCATTATTGTAGTGATGTTAAGTGTGTTCATCTTTCTGCATTAGATTTAGAGTCTTGACTAGATATTTTTAGAAAGCTACTTTGTAGGTGGTTTTATGTACTTCTGTATGATAATCTCTTCAGTGGCTACAGTTATTGATTACCTTTGTCTAGCTCCATTAACTGATTAGAAGCTTCAAAATGATTTTGTTCTCATTGCTTTAGGATCACAGAAAATGGGAAAACTTTCTTTTATATGCTGTTTGATTTCTCTGAGATGTCATTTGTAAAGAAAAAGTGAAAATGTGTGCTTAATCTATCCCTCTGTCCATCTTATTTTAACCTCTTTGTTGATTCCTTAGCATCTGTAAATTCCTGCCTGCCTAATCCTCTCCCTCCTGCTCTGTTGATATTTTGATTTTTTTTTTCAGTTAGTTGCAGTTATTATTCTTATAGATGCTTATTTGTCCCATTTTGGGTCTTCAGAGTTGTTACTGAGTCCTTCTGATGCAGTCTTAGTAGTCTTTGGCAACTTCCTTACAGGCTCTGCATGATGACCCAGACCTGGAATGGGCCATCTGTCTGAGCAGCCCTGGTCCTTGTCACTGGTTCTAGACCTTTTTGGTGGACTGAGCTAGGAAATTGGTATTCTTTTTAAAGGCAGAGATCATCATGAACTAATATTGATACTTTTGCTTAAAGTTAAGTTGATGGTATTTTTCCTGTATTAATTTTAAATCTCTGATTCCTTGACCCATACCAAAAATTCCAATTTTCCACAACACCAATACAGTTAATATGTCTGTTAACATACATTAACAGATTCAGAATAACAATACCACCATAAACAACATTAATATTGAAAATAGTTTAAAAATTCCTTTTGATAGGCATTGCATCACACTTTGTAACTAATCCCTTCTCTCTAGAGGCAGAAGTAGAAGGATTGTAAGTTTGAGGCCAGTCTGAGCGGCATAGCAAGTTAAAGTTCAGCCTCAGCTATATAATGAGACCCTGTCTGAAGAAAATAAGGACTGAAGATGTACCTTAGTGGTAGAAAACTTGCCTGGCATGTGCAAGGTCCTGGGTTTGATCCTTGCTATCACTAACAAAAGAAGTTTTTGCTCTTTCTTTTCCTTAGGAATACACCAGCAGTATATAGGTACGCAGTCTAATAGCTGTATTTAAAATCACTGAAGTTATTTTATCTGTGTGGTTAGGTTACTAGTAACACGTGTAGTTAGTCCATGTATTTTGTTTTACTTTCAATTTTTAGAGTTTTGTTTCTTTTAAGTTTGTTTTGTAAAAAAAAAAAAAAAAAGTCAAATTTTTCATAGTTCCAAAGTCTAACAGAAAGTAAACAAAGATACAGATATCTGTATGGCCCCCCCTTGCCCATGGTTAAAGAATGATTTTTTTATGTCATTGAACTTATTGATAAAGTATATTTTAGAAACCACTTATGCCCTTGATGTTAACTTTCCATTGTGGTGACAAAATACCTGAGAAAAACAACTTAAAAAGAGGAAAGGTTTATTTTGGCTCATGGTTTCAGTCCATGGCCAGTTGGTCCCATGTCTTTGAACCTGGGGCAAGGCAGAATATCATGGTGGAGAGTAAGCACATGGTGAGGCAAAGCTGCTCCCTTGTGGCTGGTAAGAAAAGTGAGACTATGGGAAGGAGCCAGGGCCCCAATATTGCTTTCAAGGGTAGGTCCTTGGGGGCCAACTAGGCCCCACCTCCTGCAGGTTCCACCAACTCCCAATAACGCCAACTGCTTAGGCCTTCAACCTAGGAGCCTTAAAGATCCAAACTGTAACACTCCCCTTGCTTGGTAAGTGGCAGGACACTGTACACGGTTTTCTCCATGGTGGTTTTTTCACATAAACTATTTCAAAGAGTGCTCTATCATAGTATATAGAGGTAGTCCTTATGCTGCTTTGTAGTCATGTAATTCCGTGTTGTGTGCATGTAGTTTATATAACCAGGCCCCCTTTAATAAGTATTTGAGTTATTTCTCTTTACCATTATAAATAGTGCAGCATTGGACAGGTTTGTGCTCAGATGTTTCATGATTTTGCTATTTTTTAATCTTTGGAGTAGATTCCTAAAAATGAGTTTCATGGGGCAAATACAATTTTGTTAGATACTGCCAATTCCACTCTGTAGGCATTTTGATTCCCGTATCTTCAGACTCTTTTCCTCCTGAATTCTTTTTTCATTTTGCTTTTTATTGAAAAATACTATATTTTCTTGAATACTTAGGAAACAGGGATGTTTCATGGGTTCTTTGGCTTTCTCCTCAAGTAGGCAGATTGGCTACTTGTATTCTACCTTGAAGGTTTCTGGAACAGTCTCCTCACTGGTCCAGCCTTCTGTGTAATTGTATGAAGTGTATTTTGTGAATTCCTTCTAGAAATTCTATAGAAACAACCTAGAAGGCTTAAATTTTTGAGTTGTTCACTCAAATCTGAACATGGGGTCATTGTGAGTGAGCCGACTTTGTAGGGAATGAAAACGTCCATTGATTTTACAAGGGGAGCAAATATAAATTCTAAGTCACCCTTTATTGCATAGGTGCAATGCTCCAGTCCCGGTGCTAAGTACTGCTTTATATCTTATTTAATGTTTACAGTAGCTCTTGTTAGTGGGATAGATTGTACTTCTCATACTTGAGTCACACAACCCATAAATGGTAGAGCTGGGAGGTGTACCCGGATCTTTTTTGATCCCGAAGCCTCAGTTCATATGGTGATGAGTTGTATTTTTGTTTCTATTAAATATTATTTACTATCGATGGTTTGTCATAGTCCTTTGAAATTCTCAAATTGGAATTAATATATCATTTTATAGGATTTGGTGTTGATTATCAATAAGTAGAGTGTGCAGAACATGGGAAAATGCAGACATGAATAGGACACCGCTTCTACCTTTAAGGAGCTTAATACCTATTAGGAAAGGAAATTGTATGTATATTTAATTACTAGAGAAGGAAATGTACCTCTTAAAATTTGTTCAGTGTGATAAAATTCAACTTTGAAAACTTTTGCCAAGCTATAACATATGTATTACCTTTATAATTGAACAAGAGGTATTTTGCCATTACTTTTCATTGTGAAATGGTGGCTGCGTGTTAGGTCAGACCTAGAAAAGTAATTAATCCATTTCTCGGTTGGAAAGTAGAAAGTGTGTAAATTGGTTATAGTTGTAGTGTGGATATCCTAAAGGTTAGGTTAAATCTGATCTTTAATTTTTTTGTGAGTCATAACAATGGCTAGATGGAGTTACATGTAATATTACATATTATACCTTGCCTTATACTTTATTTTCTCTCCATTTTTACACTAATTATTTTCTTGACATGTCTTTTAGCTTGATAACTATGGACAACAAGAACTTGGGGATCTTTTTGTGAACTATAATGTAAAATCTCCCACTACTGGAAATGATCTGTCCCCTCCAGTACCTTTTAACTTAATGTTCAAGACCTTCATTGGGCCTGGAGGAAGCATGCCTGGGTATGTATCACTCGTTGCTTATTTAGTAACGAAGTTATTAAGTTGCTTATGATAAAAGATAAATAGTGCTCTGGAGGAGCATTTTGTACAGATGAATATATTAAGGAGCAATCATGATAGACACATTCTTAAGTTTCGTTTCCTCTAATTCTTTGTACAGTTTTTTTTAGTGTGTATGACTTTTTTTTCTATAAAATATGAAAGTCCATAATCATTTTATCTTCTGGTTTTAGCTACATAGAGCACAATGGACAATTGAAAATGAATTTTTTGTCATTGAACTTATTGCCAAAGCATACTTTAGAAACCATTTAGTCTAGCACAGCATTGTCCGAGAGTGCTTTCTGTAGTTGTGTAAATGTTCTATAGTCCGTGGTAGTGCTGTCCAATATGGTAACCACTAGCAACATGCAGCTATGGGGCACTTCAAATGGGGCCAGTGCTACTGAGAAATTGAATTTTAAAATTCATTTCATCTTAATTAAATTTAGATAGACATTGCTCATAACCTATCATATTAGAAGGCATAAATATATTGGTTTGAAAGATGAAGTTTTCATAGATAAACCAAACCTGAGTAGTCTATAATGTGATCCAGGGTTGAGGTTATCCTTCCAGATTCCTTATCTACTGTTAACAGACTTAATCCATGTTCCATTGATAGCATTACATATTTTCCTTATAGTCTTAATTGAATTTGTTTTTATTGTTGGTTTTATTATTGTTTTGGTTATTTGAAACGGGGTATCACTGTATAACCTGGGCTGCCCTCAAACTTGCAATCCTCCTGCCTCTGCCTCCCAAGTGCTAGGATTGCAGGTATGTTACTATGTAGGTTTTTGCTAGAAAAGCTAGGTAGGTTATGTTTCCATTCAAGGAAACAAAAGGATAATAAAAATTGTGATAAAGTATGCCACAATTATTTTCATAAGACAACAGGTTGACTGGGAATATTTTGAGAAAGACCAGTGGTAATTCTCTCCTGTTGGCAGTCATAAAATTGGACATACTCTCTGACCCAGCCTTTCTGTTCCTGGGAATTTACCTAATGAAATAACTCAAAAGGAAAAGAAGCTATGCCTATAAAAAGTGTTTAAGTTAAAAGTAGAAATAACCTACATATCCATTAATTTGAGAGTGGTTAAACAAATTACAGATTATGTTAGCATAACACTCTGTCATTGTTAATATGAGAAAAATTTATAATTATTTAGAAAATGAAACAGTATAAAATAAGTGAAAATACATAATTTTATGCCTGCTACATACAAAGATGTGGATAAAGTATAGATATTCTTGTATTTTCATGAATTCTGGGATGGGCCATAGAAATGAAGTATTGGTCTGTTAGAGTGAAGGAGGCTACACTTCTAGGGTCTTTGTCTTGATTTTAAAGTTGTTTTAGTGGGATAGTATTTTGAAGTAGGTCATTGGGGACAATTTCTTGGTGTTTTACACAAAATATCTTCTATGAAATTAAAGAGAGGACAGTTAGTTATATTGTATTTACCTGGCAATATTTTTATAATATGGAGAAGTACAGAAGCCTCCGGCTGAAAATATAAAATACTGCAAAGAACAAAATTAGACAAGAAACCTTAAAGTTGCCTGGCATGGTGGGATGATTGAGAGGTGAGTGAATGCTACCATTAGCCCTTGGGCCACACTGACTTCCTTTTGGCCCGCAGTTAGTTTAATATGTGGTTAAGAGGGTAGACTGAGGCGCAGTCTGTTCAGAAGTTAATGCCTGCATGCATTGCTGCGGAGGACGTTGGACAGTGTTTTGACCCCAGGAATGATTAAATAAAACGACCATGCTGGTAGGAACATTGCCACACCATTTACTCAGCCCACTTTCTAATGTGTGCGGTGGGGATATTTGCTATTGTGGAGATGCGTATTTCTAAAACTTCATTTTAGGGCCTATAGGGCTTTATTGTGAAAACAATATATTGGTGACTTCTAAGGTTTGTATGTAAATTTCATGTTCATTGGAAAACATAATTTCTTTCTTCATAATAGACTGATATCTTAAATTTATAGGTATTTGAGACCAGAAACTGCACAGGGGATTTTCTTGAATTTCAAACGACTTTTAGAATTCAACCAAGGAAAGTTGCCTTTTGCTGCTGCCCAGATTGGAAATTCTTTTAGAAATGAGATCTCCCCTCGGTCTGGACTGATCCGAGTCAGGTACTGCCCTTGGCATTGAATTGAAGATGAAAGCTTGTTGTTTTGAACCAATTCTGCTTTAATCCTGATTGTGGACTTTTTTTTTTTTTTGTCTTCTTCAGAAAGCATGTTTTGTATTTGTAATCTCCAAATGTTATCTCTGGAGTGGCAGGTTTGAGTGTGAAAATTAACTTGAAGAGAAAGGAAGGAGGATGAGAAATGGCTTAAGATTTTTACTTGCTCCAATTATCTTTTTCCCATGTTCATCACATGGTTGGAGGATGCTTAAGATCTTAATTGTTTCAATCAAGGCAGTCTTGGCAATAGTTATGCTTGTAAGCACTGGGTGGGATGGGTGATGGTTATGATACTGGGTATTTGAGGTGCCCAGCGCAGACAACATGGCTGATGTTTCAGTAACAAGTTCATTCCCTATAACTTCCAGATATGGGAGTTGGGAAGGCTTTATGCCAGAGGCCAGCTAGCAAGCTTTTCCCATCTGCTCTAGTTCAGACAGTCAGTGGACTCTGTTCTGATAACCTGCTTTTGTATGATGTGCCCAGGGTGTGTGGGAGGCATACTGGCACTGTGTAGTTCTACTTCTTTTTAGAAACTTATCATGACTAAAGCTTTTTGTGATTTCTCTACATCGTTTTCCTGATAATATCTCTTTGAATGATATATTCCATATAAAAATATGTTGTGTAGCAACACTTAACTTTGCTAGGCTCCAAAAGTGTTCTCCCAGAGCCAGCACCCCACCTACTGCCTCTTGTCTTTTCTTATTTGCTGTAACCGCAGACTTCAGTCATAGCATGTCCCAGCCATGACTCCAAATCTAAGCACCCAGGGCACCTGCCTGCTCTTGTGAGGCCCAGGATGCCTCTCTGAGGAAACGCTCCTGCCTTCTGACAAAGTGTCTTCAGCTTGTGATACCTAAGGCTTGTGGGTTAGGAGAGGGAAGCCTTATAGAAGAAAGACATGCACAGCCTAGAGAAGGGGGTAGAAATGACCCTCCTCCCCCTTTCATGTAGAAAGAAGAAGTAATCAGAGGCTTTAATCGGGTGTTACAATAACAACCAAAAAAAAGCCTCCTCAGGGTTGAGTCCTTATTTCCCAGTGTCTGGCTTTTCTGTTTTTGTTTGTCTTTTGGTCTTTGGTTTCTTTTATTCCAATAGTTGCTGACAAGGATGCTTTCCTGGTGCTTGGGAGCTAGGTAAGACCAACATGGTTTAAAACCTGTGTTTTGGAGAGGATTTGCAAAAAAGTAGAATAGCTGTGAGAAGATTATAAAAGAACCAAGAAGTAAGGCATCTGGGGCTTATGAAGCAGAAAAGCTGGTTCAGAACTGAGCAATGATCCTAGGAGCTACCTGGTGTCCCGGGACTTCCAGTTGCTCATTTTTATCTTCGAATGTCCTGTCTGGATTTTGTCTGGTTTGTTAGACACCTCTGCAAGTTCTGAACAGGTCAGTCATTCTTCTACAAGTTGACTCCCCGTGGAAGGCTAAGATTGGTTTGCTTAGTGCTAATTTCTTCTTGATGAGAGTTACCAGATGACTAGTCTTTCTATAGCTATAATTACTTTTAAGTATTACATGGTTCATATGAAGCTTTTAGAATTTTCATTTTATTTTGACTGGCTGGTTCTGTCTTCCTAGCCCATGTGTATTTTAGTTCTGTAGTTTTGGGTACAGCCTCTAAACTCACATACAAAAGACAGAGTTGGTTAAATCAGTGTTCCTGTTGACTCCTGCCTCCTGCCTGTGACCTGATTACATATATATATATATATATATATATATTTTTTTTTTTTTTTTTTTTTTTTTTTTTTTTTTGGTACTGGAGTTTGAACTCAGGGTATCATTCTTGCTAGGCCAGGCACTCTACCTCTTGAGCCACTCAGCCAGCCCTTTTTTGTGTTGGGTTTTTTTGAGATAGGATCTCATGAACTATTTGCCTGGACGAGCTTTGAACCACCATCCTCTTGATCTCTGCCTCCTGAGTAGCTAAGATTACAGGCATGAGCCACCACCAGCTCCTAGCATCAAGGTGTATAAGGTGATGTTTTAGTATATAAATTGTGAAATGATTACTATAGGCAAGCTAACTAACATATCCATCCTTTCACATAGTTACCTTTCTTTTTTATTTTGGTGGTGAGAATATTTAAGATCTACTCTCTTAGCAAATTTCAGTGTATTATTAATTATAGTCACTGTTTTGAGATTTCCTGACAACAGATGGAAAGACTTGGGCAGCACCTTTTCTGAGGATTCTGAGTAGAGCCTTTAATTTATCTGTCCTGTATTGTAGTAGTTCCTATCAGCCCAGATAATAAATACGCTGTGTGAGAACAAACACAGTATTCATCTTTTTCATGTTTCTGTGTACACAGATAGTTGTTGATAGACGGTTAAGATACAGATTATACTGCAGGCATGGTCAAGTGGTAGAGTGTCTGCCTATCAAACATAAGACCCTTTAGTTTGAACCCTACTACCACCAAAAAAAAAAGAGAACACAGGTGCTACAAGACCAAATAAGGTATGCCACTGAAAAATCAAAGCTCTTTGGCAGTACATTTCATGTGTTTTTAGGACTCCATTGCTTCTAAAACGTCTGAAATAATCATGAAAGTACACCAGTAAGTGTGAGTTGCTTTTTTTTTTTTTTTAGAAAAAAATATAGAAGAAGAAGAGAGGTTTGATTTGACTGATAAAATTAACTTAAAAGACTCCTTCACCATGTGATAGCTACTAAATTGCCATTCAGATAACTCTTTTTGGGAAACCGTTACTGTGTGCACATATTCATTTCATCATTACCCTGCCAGCTTGATTGTTGGCTTGTTCAGTTCATGCCTGATGTCCTTTAAGAAGCTCTTACTCTAAAGAAACATCTATGTGCTGTCATTATCAGTCATCTACTTGTGTAGAGCAGTACAAATGAAGGAAGCAAACTTGTACAGAAGCTACAGAACCATTTCAGTTCGCTTTTAATTTCTCATTTCTTGAAATATTGCTTTACTTAGAGTATATTTATGATCAAGGGGCTTGCTTATGTTTTAAGGAAATCAATTTTATTTGGATGTCACTGTTTAGCATCTCATGTCTTTTTTTGTGTGTGACATTTGCTTGTGTTTTCTTAATTTTAAAAACTATATTAATTTGCTTTTTAAAAATTATTTTCAGTTTAAAAGTAATAGTCTTTTTGGATGTGGCTACATGGAAGGAATTAATATTTGAGAAACATCTTATCATTATTTTAAATAGTGCTAAAGTTTTTGTTGTTGTTGTTATTGCTGCTGGGGATTGAACCCAGGGCCTTGAGCGTGCTAAGCACACATTCTGCGACTGAGCCATGCTTACCGACCAATTATTAATGTTTTAAAAATAATGATCACCCACGCATGCCTAATTCAAAAATTTCTTTGATCACTGTTTTAGAAAACTAATTTTCTAGTTAATGAAGAGTTTCCTGTAGTTTGGGCCTTTGTCAGTGTAGGTGCAATTGAAAATGGGAGCCTTGTTGGTTTGTATTTTACGGTTAAGCATGCAAATTTTATCCCTTATGTTTTTGCTTTAGAGAATTCACGATGGCAGAAATTGAGCACTTTGTAGATCCCAGTGAGAAAGAACATCCCAAGTTCCAGAATGTAGCAGACCTCTGCCTGAATTTGTATTCAGCAAAAGCCCAGGTCAGCGGACAGTCTGCTCAGAAAATGCGCCTTGGGGATGCTGTTGAACAGGTAAGATTCTGGAGGTAATTTAATTTACATTGTGCTGGTTCAGGATTTACAACACTTGGCAAATTCCTTGTGTGAATTTGACAGACTATTTTACCAGTTGCTCTATTTTTTTATTTTGATGTTTTGTTTTTGTAATTCCAGAGATCAAGCCCAGGGCCTTGTGCATGCTAGGCAAGCACTCTGCTGCCAAGTTACCATCTGTCCTTCTATAGTATTTGTTTTTGTATAGTATTTGTTATAGTGAGAGAAAAATCACCTGTACATCCCAATGTCTGGGCCATGGGGCTAACATGAAAAAAGGCTTAGCAAGGCACCTGATATTGGTGTGAATGGTACCTTACTGATCCTGCTTTTAACAAAATGTACAACTTTGGGGAGAGAGAGAATTTGACTCATGGGAAGCAAGCCCCCTGGATTCCAAACCTTTCTGCATTACCCATAGCAATTGGGATAAGGCCTTGCACACAGCAGAGTTTCTTCTTAACTATTTGCCTAGACAATTGAGTGAGTGAAAACTTTCCCACAGTAGCTGCTGCCCACTACTGCAGTGATTTGGAGCAGTGAGGTTCCAAGCCCTGAAAGTATTCAAAGAGAGGCTGAGTGATAATTTGCCAGTCTTTTTTGCAGAATAGGCCTCTACAGTGGTGAGAGATGGATCCAGATGTTTTTTCAGATCCTTCAAGTACTAAAATTGTAAGAGTGTATGTACTCTGGAGTTTGTAAATTTCAATAGATATGAGTACATTAAAATCCCTTCAGCATGTCTGTTCAGTTTTGTTAATTCAGAAGGGAGTATCTTTTCCATTCCATAGGGTTCTGACTATCATTTTTAGTACTGTAGATTTGGAAGGAACATGGTATTGGGCTGAAGTTTTGCTGACCCATTTGAATACTTGAACAGGTGTATGGTGGACATATTTTAAACTTCATTCTTGTTAACTTAACATGAACTAGCCCCTTTAAAAATAACTAAGATCATATTCTGGGTTTTGAAATTGTTCTGAAATCAGGAAAAAAATAGTTAATCATGTGTGTCAAATGTTTTTCAGTAGATTATGAATAACTCAATGGAAAATAGTACATTGGTTTTCAAAAGTTTTTTTTTTTTTTTTCTTGCTCTGTCCTTGCTTATTTAGGGTGTGATCAACAACTCAGTATTAGGCTATTTTATTGGCCGCATCTACCTCTACCTCACAAAGGTTGGGATATCTCCAGATAAACTCCGCTTCCGGCAACACATGGAGAATGAGATGGCCCATTATGCTTGTGATTGTTGGGATGCTGAGTCCAAAACCTCTTATGTAAGTAAAATGGATTGTTTTTTACTAGGTGGGTTTTCACATTTTTAGAAAAACGGATTTTAGAATTGCTCTTTGTATACTGCATGCCAGTGTGGTCAAAGAAGAGAGATCTTTTTCTGAACAAAACAGAAAAGGCAGTTGGCCTCTGCCTTCTTGGAAGGAGGTGGCTGCTCTGTGTATCCCAGGAGGATCCCTTTGGAGACTTAGATAGCTTCTTTAGACAGGGAGAAGTTTGATGAGGAGTGATGTGGATATATATGTTATTGGGTGGACTGTATTACTGGTACCATCCCTGTGTGGAGCTAAAATGGGAGAGCCTATGTCTGACAAGGATCTCAGCAGTCTTTGGAAATGGTCACAGATGTTTTTAAGGAAAGGGAAGAATTCTTTTAAGACTTTTTTGATACTCTTTTTTTGAGTGCTTCATATATTCTCTTTAATTAAAAAAAAGGTCACTATTGCAGCTAATGTCACACCCATTTCCTCTCCTCTGGAGAGGTCATCACTATGTCAAGGTTGCTATCACCCTTAGGTGTGTTTTTATCATTTTACATTTTAACTCATAAATATGGTAATTGACATTTAGTAAACAATAATCACCAGTTATGTGTTTTAGGAGAAAAATGTATTTATTGATGGGTTTCGTGAATGTCATATTATCTTGTTACATGTTTTTGGGCTTTGTCATTGATTTTCAGCCTTTTTTTGTTACTGTTGTTTTATGTTGGGGTTTCTGAGCTTATTCGAGTTTTATATTTGTCTTCTTTATTCCAGGTACCCCATATAATTTCATGTACTTGGAAAGCTTAGTAGTTTTGATGATTATTTTCCCAGACTCTTTGGATAAAAGGGAAAAAATAAGTATTCTTGAGAAAGACTACCTAGATATCTACTAAAGCCTTTACAAATTCTTGTTCCTATTCAAATACTACATCTTTAAGGGTGTGTCTGAATGTGTGTTTCTATAACAAAGTGCCACAGACTGGGAGGCTTGTGAACAACAGATGTTTATTCCTCACAGTTCTGGAGGCTGAAGATCAGGGTGCTTGGTGTGGTTCCTGGTAAGAGCCCTTTTCCTGGATTGCAGATTGTCATCTTGTTGTAACTTACAGGGTAGAAAGAGAGGAAGAGAGCTCTCTGGGGACTCTTATAAGGGAACTAATCCCATTGATTAGAGCTCTATCCTTGTGACTTAATTGCCTCCTGAAGGTTCTTCCTCTTGAGACACCACATTGGAAGTTAGGCTTCAACATAGGAATTGGGGGAGGCATAAGCAATCAGTCCATTATAGGTTATTTAAAAATAATTTAAAATTTTCTTCTTAAAAGTATCATGCATTTAAAAGAAATGGAATCTGGCATCAATGTGATGATTGTGGTGTTACTGAATTTTATTCTGTGACCCAGCCTTTACCAACTCTACTGAGTTTTCTTGTTCAGTAAAGTGAGTTGAGCATAAACATGTATGTTGATGGCCACCTCAGGTGCGTTTAGTTGGCCTTTCCTTGACAAGTTGTGAGGCAGTAAGCACTTCATCCACAGGCAGTAGTAGGTTCTGCCACATTCATTTTTGTATCCTGGCTACAAATTTGAGCTAAGTCTTCAGGTTTTGTCTGGGCTCACCTTTAATTTGCATAATCAACTACTAGAATATCTAGCTTATCCCACAGTTGCAATATGACAGTGTCAACCGGTCTATAAAAGAAGATTACTTTATATACAGTGTGAATTTTACTTTGTAGGCATGCTAACTGCCTAATGTAAGAAAGTATTCCCATTTCACAAATTTATAAAATCTGATCAGAGATCCTATAGTTCAGTTGTCCTTAGATATCTCAAGAGGAAGAGTAACAGTCTGCATGTTTTTGTGAACAAAGCCAATGTAAGCAGTAAATGCTTTTATTGATTCTGTCTTCTTAGGGCTGGATTGAGATTGTTGGATGTGCTGATCGTTCCTGTTTTGACCTCTCCTGTCATGCACAAGCCACTAAAGTCCCACTTGTGGCTGAGAAACCTCTGAAAGAACCCATATCCTTTCTGGTCACTTCAAACTTAGGGGTAAAGTGCAAACATCTTGTTGATGTGTAAGTCCCAGTTGACTTTGTTCTGGAGAAGAATGGGGATTTTTTGGAATTGTGTAGCACTTGTAAACCTGTTAGTTTGCTTCCCTCTACTTCACTTAGCTCATTGCCCTTTTCCTGTTCTCTGTCCTTGTAGACATGTGCCCTCAGTGTTTGGCTCTTAGAAACACATTCAGGGAAGTGCTCTGAATGTCTTTTCAGAGTACTGACCAGTTTTTCTCAGCTGCTTCAAAATGCATTTCCTTATGTACCCTGACACAAAGGTCAGGCACCTTGTGAAGCTTGTTCTGCTAAAATATGAGTGTCGTTTTATGATAGATAAAATAATTTAGCTCACTTTTCCTATAAATTACTAAAATAGAAGTGTTCTTTCTTTACCAAACATTGAGGTTGTAAGCTTATTTGTGGTAGATCAGTGACAAAAAAATAGGTCTTGTGGTGAGCATTTTAGAAATGAATAAATCATTACCAGAAGTTTTTATGCTGTGGGTTGGGTTATAATGCCCATTAGAGACTATCCCTTTTATCTCGGTATAACTGAAAAAGTCTCTATTGGTGTTATTTTCTTGAATGATTTTGTATGTAGTTTAATCTTGCACTTAAAATCAGCATAACCAGGAACTGGGGTACTAATAGAGAACTTGTTTTAAGTTGATTGATTTCAAGATGATTTTCTGACACACCAAGCCAGTGTTGTATCTTGTGATACCTTGACTGCTTCATACAAAACAGTTAATGTTGTTCAGTTTGAACCCAATAAGGGAGCAGTTGGGAAGGCATATAAGAAGGATGCAAAGCTGGTAATGGAGTACCTCGCCACTTGTGATGACTGTTACATTACAGAAATGGAGATGTTGCTGAGTGAGAAAGGGTAAGATTTAAGATGCCTGTGTTAACGTGGGCTCCTGTTAGATATGTCCTCTGCCAGGTTCTGAAAGTTAGGATGAGATTAGTTTCTGTAGAAATTTTTTGCAGATAAGTACTACCTCTTGGCTACATTTAAACAGATTTTTGCCAGGATTTTGGCACCATAGTCTAGAAATAGATTGTGGACTATAAAGGTTTTTTCTTTATGCATAAAGCCCTGGGTTTAATCCCTACCACCAAAAAAGAGAAAAAGGATCTTTTTCTTTTGTAGTGACTTTCTTAGAAGAAAAGACTTGTCCAAGGTAATGTGTAAGGAAGGATTAGAAACTACATCTTTTCTCCCTCTAGTCACTGCTTCTCTTTTGGAGGCTTGGAGTTCTCTATTTTTAAGCATAAATATAAAAACAATAGGGAAAAGTCTCTAAAGGAATACAGAATCCAGTACTAAACAATGCAAAATTTGCAATCTGACAAACAATAAAAAGTTATTGTATACCTGTAAAAAATAGGAACATGTAACTTAAAATGAGGAGAAAAGTTAGTCAAAAGAAAAACACCAAAACAACAAATATGATGTGATAAATACATACAGATATCAAGACAGAGCCAGGCACAGTGGCTTTTTCCTGTAATCCTAGCTACATGGAAGGCAGAGATCGTGGTGCAGGCCAGCCCAGGCAAAAAGTTCAAGAGACCCCCATCTCAAACAATAAAAAGCTGGGCTTGGTGGTACACGTCCATCGTCCCAGCTACACAGGAAGCATAAATAGGATCATATTCAGGCCAGCCAATCATAAACATGAGAGAGACCCTATTAAAAAAATAGCTAATGCAAAAAAGGTTAGGGAGAGAGCCTTCCTAACAAATGCAAAGCTCCTGAGTTCAAACCCCAATACTGCCAAAAAAACCCAAAAAAGGTGTAAGATGGGTACAAATGTTTTATGTTCTAAAGAATATAAAGAAAAACCTGAAGAATTTAAGCAAGAAGTGGAAATATATATTAATATTAACATTTGTATATATTGATATTAATAAATATATTAAGAGCCAAATGGAGCATCTAGAGGTGATACCTCAATGGAAATTTCATAGGATAGAGCTAACAGATTAAACATTGCAGAGGCAAGGTCATTGAACCTAAGATCTAGCAACAGAAAATATCCAAAAGAGTATAGAAAATAAGAGACAGGGCATGGTGGGGGGAATTCCATTAACAGTATCAGTCAGTTTAACATGAGAAATTGTGAGTCATGAGAGAGGGTGTGTAGAAAATATGATGATATGGTAGCTGAAACATTTTCAGATTTTCTTAAAACTATAAACCTACAGATTCAAGAAGCATAACCCCAAGCAGGAAAAACACAAAGAAACAACATGAAAGCACATCAGAATCAAATTGCTAAAAACCAGGGATGAAAAGAAAAATGTTAAGAGCAGCCAGAGGGAAGGAAAAAAAAAAAGATTCATTACATAACAACCAACAAAGATAAGAATAATTAGAGTTCTTGTCAAAAACTGTGCAGCCACAATACAATGGAATAGAGTCTTTTAAAATACAAAAAACCCCATACTTGGCAAAAGTGAAGAGGAAAATACTTAGAGACCAACAAAAGTTCTGCAAAGTATAGAAATCTGTATCTACCCAAAGAACTTAAGAGCTTTAGAAATGATAAGTATGTGGTAAATATAAATGACATTTTCTTTCTTATCTCTTAGTTAATGAACTGTTTAAAGCAACAATAATATTTATGAAATTTTTATAGAAATAAAATATGTCATAAATAGCACAGAAGGGCAAAGAATTGGCAATATACTATTGTGAAGTACCTACGTTATTCACAAAGTGGTATAGTATTGAAGATAGGCTATAATTTATTTTAAAATGCATCTAATATACTCTAGAACAGTTACCTAGAGAAAAACACACAAAACCCAAAAAACTGTAACTAATAAACTGTGGAGATAAAATATAATAAAAAAAGATACTCTAGAAGAAGACAGGAAAGGAGGAAAAGGCACAAAGAACAAATGGGACAAGTAGAAAATAACTAGTGAAATGGTCAGTTTAAACTCAAAATGCCAGTGGTTACACTAAGCAAGATTTCTAAGCACTATAAATAGTAACCACTGATTGTCAGTCTGGTTAAAAAATGCAAGACTCAAATGCTGTTAATAGGAAACTCGCTACAGTGATAATACACAAATAGGGTTAAAATTAAAAGCATAAAAATTTTGCAGACAAATGTTAGCCAAAAGTTGGAGTGGCTGTATTAAGTATCAGACAGTGTAAGCTTCAGAACAAGAGGGGTTACGAGGGTTAAAAAAAGGCATTGCATAATAATTAAGGGGTCAATTCATCCAGAAGTTGTATCACTCACTTCTAAATGTGTGTGTAACTAAAAGTAGAACCTTAAAACATATAAGACAAACTTGACAGAACTGAAGGGAAAAAATAGATGAATTCTATAATTATTGGAGATTTTTATACCTCTTTCAATAATTGGTAGAGCAAATAGACAAAAAGTCAATAGGAATTAGAAGATATAAACACTTAATCAACTTAACCTAATTGCCATTTATATAACATTTCTTTTAAAGTACCCTTCAAACATCTATCATACTTTTTTTACACACCCCTCCAGTAAAGAATTGTTTTTGCATTTTTAAAGGATTGTTCAAAAAAACAAATACCCAAAACACAACTAAAAAACAAAATTCAAGCGATCACATGTGGCCTGCAAGTCCTGGAATGTTTCATATCAGTCCTTTTACAGAAAGAGGTTGCCAATCCTGTCATAGATGTTTGGCTGAGTAAAAGAAGCCTTGCACACAAGTTTATGTGTGAGACTCTAGGAAAGGCAAATCTGGTTTGCAGAGATGGAAAGCAGATTAGTGGCTGACTGGAAATGGAGGGACAGAAAGGAGACCTTGGGGAACTTTTGGGCCGTTGTAAATACATTTGTCAGCAACCATCATAAGATAAGCTTTTGCAAGTTGAAGATACTATCCAACTCAGGACAATTTTTCAACATTTCCAGTCTTCCAGAATTAACACTATTTATGCAAAAACAACATCAAGTTCCATCAGAAGGGATATAGTTAAATTACTAACTAGATATCATCACCCACAAACAAGACAGCTTGCTCTATTAATGGCTGTCTCCTTCCAGATTTCAGCTTTTACAGCTATTGCCTACTGTATACTTAAGACTGTGCTCATAGCGAGAATACATATGACCTTGTATGCAGTGGCACCTTTAACACCTGCACACACAAGCTTTACACAGAATTGTAAAAACAGGAAATCAATGGAAACCATTCAGATGCAGTATGAGATTATCATTGGTGGAAGCCAGCAGAATGCAGTTGTAACAAGTGCCAACTGTACAGCTTCAAGACAACCACATGAGGGCTCTCTTTCTCAGTATGAAGCTGCTGTGAGGCCAGAGAACAAATTGATTGTCATTGTGTGAGAAAAATACTTCGTGTGCTAAAGGGTAGGTATTGCGTGACTTGCAAAGATGAGTTCTTGTGGCCTGAAACTGAATGAGCCTGTCTCAGACATGAACACATGCCAGCCAGTGGTTTGGAGGGAGATGATGTTTTATATTGATGTATCAAACAATCGTTAAACGTCTTTTAAACTTGTCTTTATTAACACAAGTATCAGTTTATTTTGGAAATACTGTGGGAGCTTTAAAATTATTTCTGTAAAATAACAAGTTCTTTTTTTTTTTATATATTTGTTGAGACAGTGTGAGAGCAGTGGTCATTTTATCAGCAGGCCTATTTCTGACAAATCTTTTATTCTGAATTGTTAAAAAGTTGTTTTAGTTCAACCTTGACCTCAAAACTGGAGGAATTTGTCATTAAGCCACTTGTGCCTCCAGAATACTGTTTGGTGCCATTGTTAGTGAGATACTATGGATTTGACTTCAGCTCTGATTACTTATCACCCTTTAAATAAAAAGCAATTTAGTAACCTGCAAAACTTCCTTAGGAACAAGTATGCATGTTTAAACTAATATATGATGTGGGGTTTTTTTTTGTTTTATTTTGTTTTGTAGGGAATTCACTATTGAAACTGAAGGGAAAACTTTTCAGTTAACAAAAGACATGGTCAATGTGAAGAGATTCCAGAAAACACTACATGGTAACTTTATAAAAATACAAAAAACAAACAAAATCATTACTTCTGAATGTTTTTTAAAAAAATGTTTTATGACATAACCATCATAATGAAGTTTTGAAGAGGAAAAAAAAATCCTAATGCTACAGCTGTGAATTTGGTGAAAATGTTCAAGACAGTTACTTGGGCTTTTTGTCTTTTTAAATGTAATTGTACTCATACTGAAAAATAATTTCTAATTCTGTCTTTATATTTCCTGTGACCTGAGGTGCAAGGGTGAAGATCTCTGCTTAAAAACTATTTGTCACTTTCAGGGAAAAATCCTTTATTTCTCAAGCAAAAGAGGGAGTCTTCATCTTCCCATCCCATCAGTCTTTTCTGCAAAATAGCTTGTTAAAAAGACATTTAGATTCATTACCCTTCATGGCTTTTTGGCGGTTACTGGGGTTTGAACTCAAGGCTCTTAGTCACTTAGCTGGCAATCTGCCACTTGAGCCATGCTCCTAGCTCTTTTTTGCTTTAGTTGTTTTTCAGAATTTTTGCATGGGGCCAGCCTCAGACCATCATCATTCTACTTATGGCCTGTTGTGTAGTTGGAATCACAGGTGTGCAACACCACCCCTGACTTATTGGTTGAAATGGGTCTCGCTAAATTTTTTTTACAAGGGCTGGCCTCAAACTGAGATCTATCCGATCTTCATCTCCTGAGTAGCTGGGATTACACAATTGAGCCACTGAACCTAGCCACCTGTCAAGCTTTTTCAAACGCTAAGGAGACAATTTTTTTTTATAGAACAAATCCAATGAATTGGGCAATGCATACTTTGCAACAAACAAATGACTGAAATGATGCTCTTAGAAGCAGTAGTGGATATCTCAGATTCCATTGCTGGTGGTGAGGCAAGCCTGCCTTCGAGTTTGTTCTTGGCCTGCCTTGTAGCCAGACTTGGTGAGCAGGAGTAGAGGTAAGCAGGGCCTCCTGCAGGTTTTGGGGCTGTAGCTGTCATCCTGACGGCAGCTGCTCTAGAGCTGTACCTCAATTATTGGGATGGGCAGAAAAAATGCCTTGGTTATATTTCTAAAGCATATTCTTTTTCTTTTTTATGGTATGTGGTCAGATTTAGCTACAATTTATTATACATGTGGTGCTGGTAGTCTCTGCCAAGAGGACAATCACAGCAGCAGAATGTATATTTAGCATGATGAGTAAAGGAGAATTTTGATCAAAATAAAAATAATGTTATTTATTTCATTTATTTATTTATTTATTATTTCATGCTTTTTAAGCATGGAAAGGAAAATTTGCATGAGGATGAAGCACCTTTAGTTACAAGCATATGGTATTAATGACTCCTGTATCACAGACAGAAGAAACAGCCTCTTGGTAACAACTGTGACATTTGGTCCCAATTATCTCATTACCCACTAAGGTCTCAGCTAACATTAACCCTACACAGTGCTTAGTGCCTCCTTTCCAAACAGTATGTAAATGCATTTCCTACATGTACCACAGGTGGTCTCACCTACAGGAAGGGGCCCACTGGGCCCTGGTAGGATGTTTTTAATGGAGTGGTGGCCTCTGAGCAGACTCTTCCTTCAGGACCTCCTGACCCCAAAATCTTGGAGGTACAATGGTAGTAACTTGGCTGTGAGCTCTCACCCAGGTAACAGCTCAAAAGTCAAACACAAACCATGGGATGCTTGCTGCTTGTAGGGATTGCTTTTGTTTATTTGTCAGCTATGGTGGTGAGTTTTTAATCTACCAAAGACTTAATGGAAACTCTAGATTTCTTAGGTTTTCTGGAGAGGCAAATTGTTAACTATCTAGTAGGAGTCAGATTGTGATTGCTATTGGTTGCAGCTTATTGGCAGGAAGGAATGATGCTCCAGCAACTCAAGTTTAATTTTTATGCTTTATGAACAAAAAATTGAATTTGATGAAAATTTCTTTAATTTCAACTTCCTCTTCAAAGCTGCTGTGTTTCCTACTAGCAAATAGCTTTTATGAATGTTCTGATTCTTTGTCCCTATGTACAGGGATCAAAATCCCTCCAGAATAGACATATTTTTATGTCAGAATTGCTAAGGATTTAGACAGCATCTGCAATGTATTGTGTGGTATTTGAGAGAATGTCATTGAATTTCTATCTCTTTTACAGTGGAAGAAGTTGTCCCAAGTGTAATTGAACCCTCCTTTGGCCTGGGCAGAATTATGTATACCATACTTGAACATACATTCCATATCCGAGAGGGAGATGAACAGAGAACGGTGAGCTTTCCTGTACAATATGCTAGTCTCTTAGAATGTCAGAGAAAATAAAATGTATTGAAATATATTAATAAGACTCAGGAATGACCAATTAGTTGTTATTTACTATACTAGTAATGTATATGCTAACCTTTGCTTAACTGTTTGTAAAGAAAAACACTTTTGTATGTTACCTCATTTGAGCATGTGTAAGTTATTCTAGAAGCCATTGTTTTAGCTGCCTGGTGCCCTTGATCTGTTCCGAGATAGAATATATTTAGGGAACTATATTGTATTGGTGAATGGAATGCTAGATACGTCCTTGTTTTCAGAAAATTAGGAAGGCTAGGAAGGCTCGTAGAACTTGGCCAAATCCCCAACTGTATGTATATACTGAAAGCATTCAAGTGAACCCTCTCAAACTTATAAAATAGTCTAGCTGGCATACTTTTAGGGTAAGATGTAAATTCCTAGGTTCTATTCCAGAGAAACTTATTCTCCAGATCTGAAACTCGGTGATCCGTAGGGTTTCATTTTGCTTTCTTTTGTTCCAGTGTATGATTCCAGTGTATGAGGTGACAGATCATAATATCTGGAGTATAGCTTTCCTGGCATTTAAGCATTGCCAAAGTAGAAGTTTATACAAAGCTTCACCTCCTCCCACAAATGTCTTTTGGCTCTTAGGCTTCTGAGTCACTACTCCATGCTTCCCACTCTGCCTCCTCATTCGGCTTTGCTTTACCTTTCCCATCTTACCTCTGCCTGAAGAAATTATAGTCCTTTTACTTCTAGGCAGAGAGTTCCAGAAGAACCAATCAGAAGAATGGCTAATAATGAAACACATGCACAATCAATTGGAAGAAAGTCATTTGCTTGACTGTTCTAAAATTGAATGTACATAATGTTGAACATCAACTCTGGTTCTTTCCAGAGCATCTCGAGAATAAACTGTTGAGTTCTTGTCGCCAGTGTTCTTAAAAGCTCTGACATGCTATTGTAATACTTGTTAATAAAGTTCCTCTTTTTGGTGTGTGTGGGGGTAGTTCTGGGGTTTGAAATCGGGGCTTTGCACTTGATAGGCAGGCATTCTACCACTTGAACCACACCTCCAGCCCTTTTTTCTCTGATTATTTTGGAGATAGGGTCTCACTTTTTGCCCAGGCTGACCTGAACTGTGATCTTCTTATTTTTTAAGCTATCCAGTGTTGCTGGAATTAACAGGTGCTTGCCACCAGGCCCAGCTTTTTTATGTTGCGATGGGGGTCTCACAAGCTTTTTAGCTTGGGTTGGCCTAGAGCCTTGATTCTCCTGAACTCAGCCTCCTATATTGCATGGAGTGACAGGCACATGCCCAGCTATTAGTTGAGATGGTAGGCTCATGAATTATTTACTCAGGCTGGCCTAGAACTTGTATCTCTGCCCTAAAGTTACATCTTCATTTCCTGATAAGAAGTTGCAGCTAGCTCCTCCTTCATTCAGCAGATAAGAATCTGGGCTAGATACCAGATATGCAAGTGTAGGGCTCAGTCCTTTTTGAGAAATGGTGATGTTCATAATTGTAGGTCCTCTTTTTAGATGTCAAATTTGCTTTATGCTTTTTCTGCTTATTTTTCTAATAACAAGGTATTTTTAAAAAATCTTTTAGCCATTCTGTTGACTCTAACAAGATCGATGTAACTAGAGCCTTAATAGACATTTCATATGGGCTATTCAAGAATAAATTAGTTGCAGTGCTTTATGAATTGCGTAGAGTTCCATCATGAAGAGAAATTTGATTAGGCTGTGGAAGCCAAAAATGTTTCTAAATTAGCACCTAGTTCCTTAATTCATTTGTCTGTAAATTTGGTATAAAAACATTGCTAGTGAAATTTAAAAAAAATATTTTCTAAAATGGCCCTATTTCTCCTACAAAATAGAATTATTACAAAATGGAAGAGGGGAGTAGAAGTGTGAGTGTTCTGTGACGTAGGTATCCATAATGCTGGAGTACATGGTTTCCTTACAACAGCTTAGTCTCATCAGATTATTTGGCATTAAAGTTTTAATTAAACTTTGAATGGGGGGCTAAGCTGGAACCTGCATCACTCACTGTTTTTATGTGATAGATTCTCTCCAAGTTTTATGTACTTGCCTTCAAGTATTGCACGAATAATATTTGAGAACTGCCTTCAGCCAGCTGGCTGTCTTCACCAGCACATCTGCTGTCTTTGAATTCAGCTTGCTCAGAAACCTCATTCAGGAACAGTGTAGGAGGGCTAAACTTTTCGGTGTAGGTCTATAGAACATGGTTTTTTTTGTTGTTGTTGTACTGTATATTTGTGTGAGCTAATTAAGCTTTTCTGATTTACTTTGTCACTTGGTCCATGGTTTCTTCTCTTAAATGACAGGTAGGGTTTTATGTTTTGGCACTATGACTTGTTACTTGGTTTGGGGGGGAATTCTTTAGGTGGTCTCCATTGGAAGAAGTAAGGTTTTAGATAAGATCAAAAAATTACCATCTTAAAAATACTGTAGCTTTCAGAATGATTTCATATCACTTGACTTTTTGTAAAGGAAGCAGAGCAAGTACTATAGACCTGCTTTTTATGTAGAGAAACTAAGTTTCAAAAAAACCGTTCACCAAGTTGGCCAAATTCAGAGTGGAAGCTAGATGTTTCTCATTCTGGCTCTCCTCTTGTTTCTCTTGTCATACTGCTTTTCGTATCATGTTTTCTGGCATTTTGATAGTGAGGTTTTGCTTGGACAGATAACTGAATATAATGTCTTGTGGTTTAGGACATTGACGTTTAGGTAGTTATAAAGTAACATGTTTGAATTTTTCTTTTTAAACCATCTAGTTCTTCAGTTTCCCTGCTGTGGTCGCTCCATTCAAGTGTTCCGTCCTTCCACTGAGCCAAAACCAAGAGTTCATGCCATTTGTCAAGGAATTGTGTAAGCAAATCCAATTGAGTAATCTCCATGGAAACACCATCACGTAGACTCTGTTTTTTCAAGGAAATATGTCATTTGTTTCCATAAAAATACAGATTAGATGAGAGTTAGTGGAAGTGATTTTGGCCTCTGCCCTTATTGCTGAGGGAGTGTGCACTTGCTCAGAGTGTTGGCTTTGAGTGAGTGAGTCAGGCGACTCAGACTGTGCCACCCCTCGCTTCTCATAACGATCTTGGTGCTCTCTTCACCCAGGACACTGTGTAGCATAGCACCTCTAGGGGACCTACAGTCACTGAGGCCACAGCGCTGAAAGGGATCTGGGAGTCCTGTGGTACTGCCCCCTACTTCAGAGTTAGCAAGTGGGACGAGTCCACTGCGCTGTTCAGCTGTGCAAGCAGAGGTGGCGGTGGAGTCAGAACAGCCTCCTGGCCTCCATCCAGTACTTGCTACTCTGCAGTTGTATCAGGCATGAATGGAAATGAAGGCTTGGGCTCCAGTAAGGACTTGGCAAACTTTTGGGGTTTTTTTTTTTTTTTTTTCTCTTACAACTAGAACTTGTTACTCTCTTGTCTTGGTCCCCTTTATAAGTTTTATAAATTTCTTGAGCTTGTAAGACTGCACCCAGAGGACATTTAGGACTTACTGCGTTATTTTATTTTTAACTTAACTTCATTTCTTTTGGATAGCGGAGGCTCTGACCAGAAATGGTGTGTCTCACAAAGTAGATGATTCCTCTGGGTCCATTGGAAGGCGCTATGCCAGGACTGATGAGATTGGCGTGGCATTTGGCATCACCATCGACTTTGATACAGTGAACAAAACCCCTCACACTGCGACTCTGAGAGACCGAGACTCCATGCGGCAGATAAGAGCAGAGGTAACTGTTTGGGTCTTAGCCTCAGACATGTGCATTGCTTCCTTCTGGTTTCAGTTGAATTTTGATATATTTGTGCTCCCATTCCTTTTTTCTTTCCCTTTGTAATTTTAATGATAGGTTTGTATCAGACAAAGCCCAGGTTCCCAAATCCATTTGGTTTAATTATAAAAATATCCATTAGCACTTCTCTAATATTGTATGGCCATTTGGATTGTTCTGGGCTTATTCTCTGGCAGTTTTCTTTTATAGTTTTTGTTTATTGGGCAAGAGAAATGTGACCCCAAGAGTCTGTTGTCATAGTTTTACTGGCAAGCTTTTAGGTGCTGAGACATTTTTATGTTTCTATTTCTATAGAAACGTATCCATGTATGTGTATACACTTTGTGTGGTAGTTAGTCCACTGAAAACAATAATATTTCAGTCATTTTACTTAATGGAAAGGAAATGAAGGAACTGGACAAGCACAGAAAGGAAAGGAGGATGTCAAGGGAAAGGAGCAATTGGTCACTTTCATTGAAAAGTGCCTGGCTGGTTTATTAACTTTGAGCGGGTTTTTATTATTGTATCTAAATATGCTCAGCTTAGATACAGAAAGTTACAGAAGATAATCTATTTCACAAGTCATGGATTGCTGGCTTTTTTTTTTTTTTTTAATTTGACTTGTTTGTTTGGCTTTTTTTTTGTGACAAGGTCTCCCAAGTGCTGGGATTACAGGCAGGCACCATCAGGGATGATTCTGGCTTATCTTTTTTTTTTTTCCTTTTATTTATTTATTTTTTTTACAACTAATATTAAAAGTGGGTGTTTTTATTTTTTATTTATTTATTTATTTTTTTCATTTTTCTTTTATTATTCATATGTGCATACAAGGCTTGGTTCATTTCTCCCCCCTGCCCCCACCCCCTCCCTTACCATCCACTCCACCCCCTCCCGCTCCCCCCCCTCAATACCCAGCAGAAACTATTTTGCCCTTATCTCTAATTTTGTTGTAGAGAGAGTATAAGCAATAATAGGAAGGAACAAGGGGTTTTGCTGGTTGAGATACTCTGGTCCTTTATTCTTACCTGACTGGTTCAAAATGTGGTCCCAAGACCCACCTCAGCATCAGTATTGCCTGGAAGCTTATTAGATTGGCAGAATCTCCACTCCAGACCTACTCATACTACTGGGGTTGGAAAGGGAAAGAGTTTTATTTTATTTATTTTTTTGGCAGTGTTCAGGGCCTTGTGCTTAGTAGGCAGCTGCTCTGCCTCTTGAGCCACAACAAGGCAGAGGTGTTTTAACACCTTGAAGATGGTTCTTCTGTACTTTCAAGTTAGAGAACCACTGCTGGGTGGCAGCCAGCATTTGCTGATAGCTAAGGAACAGTTGGCTCCCCTGGCTTCCTTCATACATGGTCCTTGACTGACTTGAAGCGTTAAATTTAACACATACGACAACAGTGGTACAGAATAGTTAGGATAGGCTTTGTGACAGGATCAAGTTATCAGGGAGCTGGTAGGCTTTGTGGGCTGGATGAAGAGCATAATGCCAGTCCTGGGAGTGGAATGAGTATAATTAAGTAAAGATGCTCAGGCGAGTGACAAGAAACATGTAGGTCCAGTTTGTAAAGAGACCTTGTCATTATGTACACATTGCTTTGGGTCTGTACTGTATACTGTAAACTGTTTCCAGAGTTCAGGGTGAATCCTGTTTTTGAAACTAAAATGGGTTGATGCTTAGACTTCTGTTTCCTCTTCCCCCAGGTCTCTGAACTACCCAGTGTGGTCCGCGATCTGGCCAATGGCAGCATCACGTGGGCAGATGTGGAGGCCAGGTATCCTCTGTTTGAAGGTCAAGAGACTGGCAAAAAAGAAACAACCGAGGAATAAGAACACTTTGGCAACTCTTGACCACCTGTGCTAATAAAAAAAAATAACTCACCAAAAAAAAAAAATAATTCTTATCATGTCCTTTTTACCATAAAAACCAAAAATGAAAACAGCATTGTGACCGCTCCCAGAGACTATTCCATCCTCAGTGGCTGCCTCATTTCACCCTCACAATTAAAGCTGAAGGAATTCCAGACAAACTTACGCTTTATTTGCTTGCATTCCCACGTTTCAGCAAAGCTGCTGCTACCTTTGATTAGCTGTGCTCATGGCTTGATGTTAAACACAATACATTTTAAAAATTCACAGCTTTTGGGGGTATAATTTAGATACCATAAAAGTAGCCTATTTTAAGTGTACAATTTAGTGATTTTTAGTATATTTACAAGGTGTGTAACCACCACTACCATAGTCCCAATTATTTTTGGCAGTATTGGGGTTTGAACTCAGGGCCTCATGTTTGGGTGGTAGGTGCTCTCTACCACTTAAGCCAGGCCCCCAGTCCTTTTTTGCATTAGCTATTCTTTGAATAGGGTCTTCTGGTTTTTGCCTGGGGCTGGCCTCTGACCAAGATCCTTAACCTATGGCTCCCAGTATAGCTGAGAGGATGACAGTCTCATGCCACTGTGTCTAGTGTGTTGGTTGAGGTTGGATCCTGAGTAGCTGGGATTACAGCTAATTTTAGAACATTTCTATCACTCAAAAAAAAAAAAAAAAAAAAAGAAATTGCATGCCCATTTACCGGCATTCCCCATTCCAACCTCAGCCCAAAGGAAGCATAATCTACTCTCTGTCTCTGTAGATTTGCCTTTCCTATTCTTTCTCTTTTTTGAGAAAGTGGTGCACTGTGCTAAAGAGACAGCTGTTTCCAAGCAGGTGGAGTGACTTCTGGGAAACGCTGAGCTGATGGGACCACGTGCCTGTGTAGGAAGTCTGCTCTATGCAGTCCCCAGGAGGGGGCGCATCAACAGGCATGCTTCATTCTTGGCGTCTGGTCATCCTGGAAGTCACTAGGCTCCTGATGCCAGAGGATTTCCGTGTATCTTGTTTGACTCAGCAATTCTTCAGTGTCTAGGTTTTTGAGATAGGGTATTTCTTTCCCTGACTGGCCTCAAACCTCAATCCTCCTGATCTCTGCCTCCTGAGTACCTTGGATTACAGACGTGAACCACCGGTGCCTGGCAACTAAGCACGTCTATAATGAAGCAATCATCACAGATTGATGAGCTCATTAATATGTGAAGATACATTAAACACATAGTGGGATCTACCTACTTTGGAACACAAAGGGACTGAAATCAAAGATCTCCCCACTTTTTACTGACTGAGGTAGAAGCTAGATCTTCCAGCCCTCACTTTCTCTGTTCCTTCCCTAGATGGTAGTGTGTGCTTTCTCCCAGTGGACGCCACTTCCAAGGTGATCTATTACCCCAGTGAGGACCATGGGCAGTTACAGGACACTGTGGTACTGTTGATACCCTATCTGCCTAGATTTAAGCATTTTACACGTGAGCGGTTGTGAGAAGACCCTAGTCCTCTGGCTTCATGCTCTGTGAGGCCTTTTATCTGTGTGCATTAAACGGGGCTAGCTAAACACAGCCACATAAGTAGCACTGTCTCAAATTATTCCTGTTCCTCACTGCTTCTGCAGAAATAATAATAGAGTGGTTCCGATTCTTACTGGTTTCCATGAAATTTAAGAACAGAGTAGTGAGGTTCTGTACAACTTAGGTTGGACTTGAGGACATGGGTAAAATACATTGGACTTGTGTCTAAAAGGGATCTGTGCATGACTTCTGAGGAGTCTGGCCCCATAATAGTATTGCTTAAAGGCCAGAATAGCAAATTGTTGACTAAAGATGGATGTTCTAGAAAATGAACTCATCACCAAGTCATAAATACATAACTGATCTCATTGATTTCATGACATAGTACTAGATAGAGATGTCAGGTATCCCAGGCTCTTTGTGATAAGAATTTGCAAAACTATTTTGCTCAACCTTAATTCAGCTTGAGATAGATTCATTCTAGATCTTTATTTGCTGTCCCCTTAACCAGTAAAACTCAGGGTAAGGGCAGTGGTGGTCTTAGTGGAGTGTGTTCCTTAGAGAACCAGAGGCCCTGGAGATGCACCTGAATTATGTTTGGAAGTAGCTGTACTGGAATGGCCTCCTGTGACTGGGAAAACACCTGCATCTCTCCAGCTGGGTAGAGACAGGGAGGCTTTAAAAGCATCGCTCATGCACAGCCTTGCACTAGCATCCTTGCTGATAGTCTGTTTAAGGCAGGTGTTTTGGGCATTTGGCCAAAACCAAAATGAAATTTAGTTGAACAATCACTAAGTGAATGGATGAATGATTCCACGCCTCAAAATTCACCTCCTGTTGCCTGTTCAATAAGTCTTGGTTATTGGGCTGCCTCTAAGCAGTAATCATGTTAAGACCATGTGGATGGAATTAATGTCTTCTCTGGAAATTGGGATAAGACTTGGGAGCTCTGCCAGGGTTTGTCTGAGAGGAGCAGTCTATGGTCCTGCTCCCCTGCTGGAGAGCCCCTTCTCTGAGCTGATGACATGCGCCCCTCTCAGCTGGACATGTTAAAGCACACCGTTTTAAACCTGTTACCTCAGCGAGAGATGCTAGGACTATGATACTTCACCTGGGGGCATGTTAGAATCACTTGAGCTTTAAAAAACAGTCATGTCTGGGTCTTGCCTCCTCCTAATGCACAGAGTTTCTCTAGGATGGGTCCTGAGCATCAGTGTTTTGAATGTCCCTTAGGACAGCCACCACTTAACTACTGTTGCACTTGGGAGCTTTCCTGCTGTGGGAAATTCTGGACCCTTTGCTCTGGTGAAAGGAGTCTTTGACAGGTCAGATTTGTAAAAATCTTGCATCCAGTGAGACCATTAGTAAAGCAAGGGCGGGGGGTGGGAGTAAGCAGTGGAGTTTCATTTTCCCTGGGAATGTTTTGATGCTGCATTCTTACTGGAGAGGGGTAGTGAGGCCAAACAGCAGAAGGGTGCCATGAGCACTGTGCTGGAAATAAATCAAGCTTGATGCTAGTCCTGCTTCTCAGAGTGTCCAGCTGGGTTAACCTGTCTAACCTCCATGCCTCTGTCCCAGGCCAGGAAGGGAGTGCTGTTCTTTGTGAAGCAGGAACTCTGCCTTTCCTTTCATATCTGCAGGACCTGGTACAGAAGGCAGGCTGCTAGAGTATTGTCAGAAGCCAGCACCTGCATTTGTTAGGTCTTAAAACCCAATCACCAACAATTAGTGGAAAAGCAGTTATGCTAACTAAAACAATTTAGGCTAATTAAAATGGGTTTTTTTTGGCTCATCAAAACTCACTATTCTGCATCTGAGTATGAGTTAATTGACAGTGAGATTAAGAAGAATGAAACTGGGAAAGAAATAAAACTCATTGACAAGCTTTAAAACACTACTACCTTAAAATAAATTGTGCCCAGACTTTCCTTTTGTGGGGGGGTGGGGGGCAGAGAATTCAGAAGCTAGCTTGCAAACTGCTGCATTATCTTGACTTGTTCTTTCAGTAAGAACTCTCTCCCAAGCTGCATGCAGGTCCACAACACCATCTGTTCTCATATTAGAATCAGGGGTTCTTCCCACTGCCTTAGCCATAACCAAAGGCTAAGCCACCATCATTATTCACCTGGTTTATTAGTAAGACACCTGTGCCACATCACTCCTGACCCCCTGCACCCCAGCACCTAACCTCATCATCCCCTCACAACCACTCCCTGTGTTCCTCAGGACTTTATTCAGCACCCAAGGGTGAGATCTTTCCCGGCTGTTTGATCTCAAGTTTCTACATAGGGTTGTATCTCTCCATTCCCCATTGACATTTGTTCTTCACAGAACATTTCATGTTTAATCATCAGTGTCTGTACTAGAGTGTAAGCTCCGTGAGGACAGGAACTCGGTCTGTGTTCATGCCTGTGTCCTCATTGGCCAGAGGAATGCCTCGCCCTTCCTGGCATTCAGTACATAATTGACTGATGTAATGACTGCAGGCTGCTGCCACATTCTGTATTTTGATGTTAAAACTGGCTTAGTTAGAGATGACTAACCCCTCACATACACACACACAACTCAATCCTTGGCTCAAAACCTAGTTCTTCACTCAGCGAAAGAACTGCAGCTATCTGATGTGTAGGTACCTGAGGCAGGTTCTCAATCTTAGTGTAATGGTGCCCTTTTTAAAGGAAGGAAACAAAACTTCAGCACCCCTCTCTCCAAATTCATCTGACCATTGCTCTGGGTCAATACATCAGCTGGAGAAACTTTAGCTCACATTGTGAACTATAAAACTGCCCTTCAGTTGACACTGTGTAGAAAATATTTAATGGTAAGCTATTTTTTAAGATTATCATGAAAGTGAAAGTAAATTTTAAAATCTTTATAAAACATGTAGACTCTTAGAAGATGTTCCAAGCTTCAAGCTCTTTGGGGACAAGAGTTTTGGGTTCCTGTGAAACACCCAGAAGAGCTGAATCCTGATTACTGGAGGCAGTTCAGGGCTGGCCCACACGTGATACTGCCTCCACGCCCCTCACGGCCTGATGGTGAGTGTGGCCCCCTGGGGTGTACTAGGCTTGGCCTAGAAAGGTGAGGTCTCCTGTGCAGGGGTGCAGTGAGGAGGTGGGTGCAGTGGGAGGCAGGTAAAGGCCTTGAAAGCTACCCCTCAGCCTGCTCCAAATCTGAGCCCATACTTCCTGAGTGGGTTCAGGTCTGGAATGGGGCTAAGAAGCTTGCATAAAGTTTCCTGAAGTTTCTGATGCACAGCCAGGCATTAGCACCACCAACTCAGGGGATTCTTACTAGCTAAAGTGAAGCATTTTAGTTTTCTGTTGAGACTAGAGGCTTTTAAATTTGGGTCCAGGGTTCCCTCAAGGGTTTCAGTAGAAATGGCATGTACTCTTTTGTACAAAGCTGTATTTTTCTGGGGAAAAGGATCTGTCATATATCCTTAGCCACAGCCAAAATGAGGTGCAGGTCCTGGGAGACCATCTCCTTTGTGGAAA